GGGTAAATGCTTCACTTTGTACAGCAGTTACTCTTTTTTCTCGTCTGAATAATAAAAACAGTTGGTAACAGAAAACTTTATTATCTTTCAGGAGTTTAAAAAGCGAAGTCGGGACAGAAAAAGGGAAGAGATGACAGAAGTTGTAAAAGGTGCAGTAGCAAAACAAACCAAAAACGAAAAACACAAAGGACAGTAGAACGCTTTTTGATTACGTGTTGTAAAACCGAAACCAAAGTAACCATAACGGCCGATCAGAAGAAAGATAAACACCTTTAAGAGCCAATGAGAACTGAAAGTTAGACCAGCTAAACTGTCTAAAGCGCGGGAAAATACCTTTAAGAGCCAATGAGAACTGAAAGTTTGACCAGCTAAACCGTCTAAAGCGCGGGAAAATGCGGTTGACCAATTCGTAATTAGTTTTAGTTTTAAATCTGATTGTTTGAGGGAGTGGCGCGAGTTTTTCCGGACCAATCACAGACTGAGGGAAGTAAAGCAAAACCAAAAGCATCCCAGATTATTTTCGACACTCATTGAAATCTGCTCTAGAATGTGGTAACTTTGACAAGGGCTAGGTAAATGAAGAGAAGTTTGTCTCTATATTGACCTGAAACTCGTTTATCAGTGTCACTTGTAAAAGGCTGTTGCATTCTTCGCCCTTCCACGGGGCATTTGATGGAATATCTTGTTTTACATTTCCGAAATGATGACAGATTGTTTGCGTATTTAGCGAGTAAAGATTAGCCTTCGTCGCATTACCAAGAAGGCAATTTGAAAGAGAATTTTGTAAAACATTTGACGGATACACCCCTTTCCTTTTCCCATGAGAGTCACGTAAACCAATGCCTCAGCCAAATGCCTTAAATGCCAAATGCCTCAAACCAATGCTTCAGTATTGGATCTGGTCCTAACGATTTTTCTTAAAACTGAATTAATCGATTAATTTTGATAGTGTGTGTCGTGTAGAGGGGATTCTAATCTTTCTCCATTTTACTTTTCCTTTTCTTATTCTAGAGAAAGACGAAAACCACGTCCCAAGGGTTGTGTTGAAGAAACTTCAGAAAGAGAGGGTTGAAAACGCAATGAAATCTGATGCTCAGAGAGTGGCCATTGATTTTACCCTAATGGACTGTATGCTCAACAAGGTAAGGGCATGCGATGAAAAAAAACTCAATATTAAAGTTGGTCTTGTTTGTCAATTGTAATCGGCGTCAGCATTCATCATTCTGGCTTAGTTATTGATGTCGTTCATTTTCTAATAATCGTTCTTTTCTTTAACGCTTTAAATCCCAAAAATGATTAAAATGTAACTTCGCTGTACATTATCTATATTATATCTTGCAAACAGGTGATGAGATTACTCAAACTTATTAAGTTGAAGCTCGTAACAAATTTACAAGTAAATGTGTAGCAGGTAGCGGGGAGACTTGGCGATCTGATCTTGAAAGTTAAAGGGTTAATGATTTTCTCATCAAAATGCCAATGATAGTTTGACATGTCCAAGAACAGTATGTGGAGAATTCCCATCATTTGTCGACCTTTAGAATTACGAATTCATTGAGGTTTTCGAGCATATTAGGCCAATTTCTACCATGATAAAATGTCGCCTAGTGAGCAGGAAATTCCCATTTTCACACGATGTTAAATATTGTGACAGGAAATATCCAAACTCGCTCGTCAAATAATGCAACTGTATGGTTCCAATATGAGGTCGTTTTCTCCAGTTCACCTTTACTTGACGGGACTGGAAAGTGGCGGTGTAGTATACCGTGAATGTGAAAGACAGTCGTTGAACTTCACAAAGTTATCGGTAAGTAAATCCCGAGTCCCTTTCTCTCTTATACAATTGAAACGAAAACGATAGAAAATTTCCCGTGACAATGCTGGATTGAGCCCGTGATTCCGTTCGGTGGGATCGCCGTTCAGGGAACAGTGTGGGGACTAGAAAAAGTGTCCCCTGCAGAGAAGTGTCCCTTTAATTAAATTAACAGTTATAGATAGGACCATTCTAGTTTCAGGCGGAAGAGCTAGTATCTAGGAAACATGGGTTCGAATCCCGTCAAAGCCTGAATTTTTTCAAGCTGCTTCTCTGTAATTTTTTTCTGCATTAAAGTTCACTTGCTAGGATCGTTTCCTCACTCGTAGGGTTTTCATAGTCACGGCGATTCAAGATGCAAATGTTACTATTTTGGTTTTGTTAGGCTAGTGTGTCAGAGCAAAGCTATTTGACGTTGTTTGACGCTGATGATGTCATATATATGACGCCAGACTCACCGAATGGTAAGAATCATAAAATAAGTACACTTTCGGTTCCAAAGTGCGCGAATGATAGGTGAATTACGGTCAAATTCGCCGAGCTTTGTGCCAGTTAACCCTACCCCTTCTCTATCCATGGACTGTGTCGTTGGTGTTGTCGCTTCCGTAGCAGCGGCAGTTACCGCCGATCAGTTGTACCTTTGCGTGACCACTGAGCTGCCCACCATGTGACCGGCACGCTACGTCACGATATTTGTTATAGTTACCGCGCTGCTTCTTTGACTCCCCTTCACCCCTCTGTCAATTTTACTTGTGAATTGTTGCTTGTTCTAAGAGACCAAACCTTCGTCACTGGAAAGTATGTCCTGTGAAATAACTTCCAACAAGTCGTAAAAGAACCATATTTCGTCCTTGAA